ATACCTCTAAATAAAAAAACCCTGTTCATCTTTCCAGTGTTTTTATATTCCCCATTTGTGTTTCCCTTTTACTTTTCATACTGCATTCCCTTCCACGGTCTCCAAAGGAAGTGAGTGGCAAGCAGGCATTGGTTCACACTGATAGATAGGCAGTGAGCTCCAAAGGTCAAGTCCCTTTGATGTATGATCATGTCAGCCCTCTAAAAAATGACCACAGATCTTCATGTGTAAATATGTTGAATTTGCTTTTCTAATGCTGCACGACTTAGATAAATTAGAAGACCTAGCCATCCATTACTCCAAGTTCATCCCAAAGGAGACTTGACTTTTACTGCAATAAATATAACTTCTCTTATAATTGGAGCTGTTTTTAAAATTCTATGTTATTTTCATATAAAGACTGCTTTGCAAAAAGAGCTGGTCCATTTGAAGTTCTGAATAATGATTTTTTTTTTTAAAAAATTCAGTTGTGTTGGCCAAAAAAGTATGGAAATACATGCAAAGACCAGGAATTGTCCAGTCTTTTACTTAATTCAGTATTGTTTTCTTTACTGTCTACTTACTTCAGAAAAATTTATGTATCTCTTCTGGAATTTGATTCTGTTTCATCTTTTGTTTGATGACAGAGTAGAAGCCTATGTTCTAGAGATTTTTCTTGGCTCAAAAGTAAAGGCTCATTATTATTATTATTTATTAAAGCTTAATTGCAGAAACAGCATGATTCCCTCAGCACATGTTTTTCTAAATCTCTGATAAATCACAACTTGCAATACCGGTTTAATTTGTAAAGAGAAGCAAGCCTCACTAAGAGCACATATATCTTGATAACTGTATCCTGACCTGTTTCCTGATCTTCCTCACATTGCTGCCACAGGGCTGTTTACTGCCAGCTCCAGCATGACCACCATAACCAACGTTCCAGGCATAGGTCTGTGTTTAAGCCACACCGACCACACTGATGTTGCAAAAAAATACATTAAAACATCTTGAAAACATGCATGTGCTGTCCAAACAAACCTGTATTTTCTTGCACTGACTATTTTACCATTGCAGCCCAATTATAATGTACCATTTTTCCAGTTTTTAAACTAGTTCGTAATTCTACTTGTCTGTTTCTGGCATCAGTTCCCTGTCATTAAACACCACAGTTAGAGGTTGCTGTGATTGTTTCATTTTGCTGCGGTGCAAACTAGCTATCAGCCTAGTGTAACTGAATGTGTGAACTGGTTTTTGGCAACTGCTTTGTCTCAGGGTGGTGCAAAACAGTCCAAGCCTAATAATGGATCCACACTCAGCACTCTCGCTAACAGACTCTCCTAACAGGGTAGACCCTGCAGGAAGTAATACTTACAATCTCAGAACACAGGCTACTAGAAAGAGGAAAAGCTGGTTTTAACATAAAATGTTAGGATAAACAGTTTACAATCAGACTGATTTATGGAAGAGTAGGAGGAGCCTAGGAACAAGGAATACAAAAAGACAAGACAAAATCCATCCCAATTTAGGGGCTCAGCCTACTGTTGCAACTTCGAGGCAGGAGTGCTCCCAAGGCCTGGACATCCCCTTGCTCATGTTTTCACTTAATGAGCACAAGTAAAAAATCCCATTGGAGCCAAGTGCACTACATGCTTAAACAATTTACAGGACTGAGCCCTGCCTGCTTTGGGCATGCATACATGTAAACACCGTCTTATCTCACAGATACATCTATTGGTTTATAGCTACACAGCTCTCATTGCTCTATTCCGTAATTTCAGCCCTCACCAAAGAGTTAGTGGCACAATACATGCCGATCTATGATTTTCTCACATAGTATTTCCACTGTTCTTCCTTCTTCTATATCCTTTTCACATGAAAGGATCTATGTGGTCTTAAATAAAAACACTGTTCTCTCCTTCTTACCTCTTTTAAACATACTCTAATTTAGGCACGTTGTCTTGGATAATGCTTTTATTTATATCTGAGAAAACAGTCTGCCAAACATTCCGTGTTCTTTGAATTCCTGATAAATATAATTCACTTCATCCAGTCAGAAAAAAAATTAGCATTTCCCAGAATAGCCTTCTGTGTAAACATTAGACTACGACTAAATAAATATTATATTGGATTTAACAAATTGCAAACTCCATAAGTAAGTGAAGTTTAAAATATTTCTTCAGCTCTTCAAAGTGGGCAGTTACAGTAGTGGTATACACCAGGCCTGTTTTTAGCAAGCATAAGATTAAAGTTACTTTTGTTTTACTTGCAGCCTAGATGACATTTAGATGTCCGCACAAAGTTATACATTATTTCACCAGGCATACGTATACATCTAAACAGTGATAATTAATCTGTCCTGTTTTCAATAAAAATTTTAAACCTGCTTATTTTTGAAATAGAAAGATGCTGGGAAGCAAGAAGCCCACTTAATTTGGCTTTCATTGGCTGGAGTCACACTAACAATGAAATCACTGCCTTTCAGAGTCCAAAACATACTTGCCATTTTTGGTAGAATTTTGACAGCATGCCCAGGTATAATATCGGAAATAAACCTAACCAAAACTATATAAACTTATATGGTCATGAATATAAATGTTTTCTTCACTTGAAATTTTATTTCGTCTTATTAAAGTGTTGCATGTCAATATTTTTTTTATATATAACACATAAATCTGTAAAACAGCCATTTTCAATATTTTTCTAACAAGGCCTCTTACTACAAATGCTTTGTTTGAATGCATATGACAATTACTTTAATTGGCAAAGCCATTGAAGTGAATCATATAGTAGGGAAGCTTTAATGAATGCAATATATTTTGCTTAGTTGTTCCTTTTTTGTGCCTAATTTAGGAATTCAGCCATATAATTGATGTGGCTATCACCATTTGTGTACCATGGAACCTATGAATACAATCTTCATAAGACAAGAGATGTCATTAAAATACATTCTTCCTGCAGCCAGACAAAATACATTGAGGAAATGAGAAAGCAAGGACGTGGCCAACTCCGATATCAAACTTTTAAAAGAGAACTTGGATCACCATTTAAAATTCAGTAGAACA